ACGGACTGCAGCTTTAAGTGAATTATATGGCAATAATCAGCACACAAATAAGTTTATTTTTGGAATGTTACAATGTGTTGACACAAATTACTTATTTGAATTTTTCATTGATGTTGATTGTTGTTAGAAAATAAATGCGTAGAGACCACTGATCTATATTTAGATCAGTGGTAGAGACGTTATTGCTTGATGACGTCAGGAACGATTAATCGGCTTTTTGAACCGGTTCAATGAGCCAATCTGTCCGAAAAGAACCGGTTCGCGGAAATGAATCAGACTTTGCATCACTAACCGGAAAGAGAAAAAAAAATTACAGCATCGCAACATTTTTCCGGTTCCGGAAGCCGGCGGAAGTGAATGTGGCGGATCGGATGTGAGTCTCGGTGTGGACAGCAGGAGGCGCTCTGCATTCATTCATTCATTCATGGCTCCGCGCTGCTGTGTGTCGCGGTGCATGTCGGGCCGCTGGCGGTGGTGAGTATCCCAGCCTACGCTGCTGCTGCTCCGGAGAGAATGATGGGATAGCGGCGGACACGCAAGACTTGTGCGTGTGTCCGCGTTCATCTGCGCTGTAAACACTTACAAAAGTACAGCTAAATTATCACCATAATCATGTTCCAACTTATTTACATGCTGCTCCCGGGTTTCTCAAACCATGGTACATGTCGAAAAACATGGTAGTACCATGGTACTTTTTAGTGTTTTGTGCAGCAGCGCGATTATGGTGTTTTTAACCTATTTTGACACGGGGCAGTATGTTGCTTAGCAACAGCAACAGTGTCTGATAGAGTTATTGTAGTCAACGTCTGTTGCTAAGCAACGGCCAAAAAAAACTTGCAGGGAGTTCGTAGTTAGTTCGGTAGTTGTAATTTCGTGCCAAAATGTCCACTGTACATCAAACACAGGATCGCTTTAAAATCAAACCGGTTTCTGTTGATCCTGAAACTCCAGATCGCGCGGATTTCGCTGGCGAAAATTCACTGAATACCGTGGCGTGTGAAATCTAAACGCTTTGCGCATATTCCGTTTGAAATCAATTTATTGTTAGGTGCTTTTCTCATTTTTATTAGATTTTTTAAAGAGACATTATTATTTAGCTTTATATATATTTATTTTATGTTAGTTTTAGCAATTTTAGTACTTCA